CCTCATTTTCCTGGATCTACAACCACAACCCCCATTTGCAAAGCCCTATTTTCATACTAATCCATGCAACGTAAATTTCATGACACATAGTTCATATACACATAGATAAAATGAGCTACATTTGAAAGAAACCTACCCTATTTATACTAATCTTTTTTCCGAGGTCCTCTTTATACTAATCTTCAGATATCTAGATGGTCCCTGTGCCAGACGCACTGGCCTAGCTCTTGTTCATTGTCGGCGGGGTGCAACTTTGGATTATGTTCCTCCACGTAGTTGTCAAGACCTGTGAAGAGCCGCTCCAGCCTCACATCGACGCGGTGGATACGGCGCTTGTGCGTTGCCACCTCTCGCTTTTATTGGATCGAGTCGAGGATGACAGCTTGCTCTACCGCCTCTGCGACTTCAGCGTGTTGGAACTCTACCTCGGCCTCTTCCATGCCAAATCCGCTAGGCTCAACCTCCAGGCCCCGACACCTACTCCGCCTACTCCTCCATGTCCTCCATGACCACCTTCGGCAACTCCCCCTGCTTCATTGCAATATGAGCGACACAACATACCTCTTTGGCTCGCATCTCGATGATGTGCCACTCCAGAGGGGCGCACATCTTAGTTGCGATCTCTGCCAGACGCTTGGGTGTCAGCAATTTATAGTACATTATTTTTTGTCGAACCATGCCATACAGCCGGAGGAGAGGGGGCGAATGTGGGAGGCTAGGGCCCTCGTCTTACCCGTTAGCCTGATATGGCAGACACGTTGTTGTTGGGGAACGTTGCAGAAAACAAAAATTTTCCTACGGTTTCACCAAGATCCATCTATGAGTTCATCTAGCAATGAGTGGTTGGATGCATCTACGTACCTTGTAGATCGCGAGCGGAAGCATTCAAAGAACGGGGATGAGGGAGTCGTACTCGACGTGATCCAAATCACCGGAGATCCTAGCGCCGAACGAACGGCACCTCCGCGTTCAACACACGTACGGTCAGCGTAACGTCTCTTCCTTCTTGATCCAGCAAGGGGGAAGGAGAGGTTGAGGAAGATGGCTCCAGCAGCAGCACGACGGCGTGGTGGTGATGGAGCTGCAGTACTCCGGCAGGGCTTCGCCAAGCTCTATGGAGAAGGAGGAGGTGTTGGAGAGGGATAGGGAGGCACCAATGGCGTAGGTAAGAGGCCCTCCCTCCCCCCCACTATATATATAGGGGGCCTAGGGGAGGCGGCGGCCCTAGGAGATGCAATCTCCTAGGGGGGCGGCGGCCAAGGGGTGGGGGGCTTGCCCCCCAAGCAAGGGGGCGCCCCCCCTTTAGGGTTTCCCCCACCCTAGGCGCATGGGCCCTAGGGGAAGTGGCGCCCCAGCCCACTTTGGGCTAGATACCTTCCCACTTCAGCCCATGGGGCCCTCCGGGATAGGTGGCCCCACCCGGTGGACCCCCGGGACCCTTCCGGTGATCCCGGTACAATACTGGTGACCCTGAAACTTGTCCCGATAGCCGAAATAGCACTTCCTATATATAATTCTTTACCTCCGGACCATTCCGGAACTCCTCGTGACGTCCGGGATCTCATCCGGGACTCCGAACAACATTCGGGTTACTACATATACATATCCCTACAACCCTAGCATCACCGAACCTTAAGTGTGTAGACCCTACGGGTTCGGGAGACATGTAGACATGACCGAGATCGCTCTCCGGTCAATAACCAACAGCGGGATCTGGATACCCATGTTGGCTCCCACATGCTCCTCGATGATCTCATCGGATGAACCACGATGTCGAGGATTCAAGCAACCCCGTATACAATTCCCTTCGTCAATCGGTATGTTACTTGCCCGAGATTCGATCGTCGGTATCCCAATACCTCGTTCAATCTCGTTACCGGCAAGTCACTTTACTCGTACCGTAATGCATGATCTCGTGACCAGACACTTGGTCACTTTGAGCTCATAATGATGATGCATTACCGAGTGGGCCCAGTGATACCTCTCCGTCATACGGAGTGACAAATCCCAGTCTTGATCCGTGTCAACCCAACAGACACTTTCGGAGATACCCGTAGTATGCCTTTATGGTCACCCAGTTACGTTGTGACGTTTGGTACACCCAAAGCACTCCTACGTTATCCGGGAGTTACACGATCTCATGGTCTAAGGAAAGGATACTTGACATTGGAAAACTCTAGCAAACGAACTATACGATCTTGTGCTATGTTTAGGATTGGGTCTTGTCCATCACATCATTCTCCTAATGATGTTATCTCGTTATCAATGACATCCAATGTCCATAGTCAGGAAACCATGACTATCTGTTGATCAACGAGCTAGTCAACTAGAGGCTTACTAGGGACATGTGGGTGTCTATTTATTCACACATGTATTACGATTTCCGGATAACACAATTATAGCATGAATAAAAGACAATTATCATGAACAAGGAAATATAATAATAATGCTTTTATTATTGCCTCTAGGGCATATTTCCAACAGTTGTGTCGTCCCTATATGCGTCTCATGTATGGGCTAGATATGAGGGGTGCGAGAGCTATATTCATCTTCTTGTTTCAAGCAAGTGGAGAGCTACCCGGTAGGCTTTGCCTAGGTTCTTGATTGAGTAGTAAGGCGGTGCTACTTGAGTCCAAACGAGTCGGTGTTTCCACTATTTCTTCTCCATTCTTTCAAAAAAAAAATCCTTTTTTCGTTCTATTGTTTATTTTCTTTTCTCCTCTCTGGTTTCATTTTTTAGTTTGTTTTCTTAAGACTTATTTTTTATTTTCTTTTTTCCTTTTGTTTATTTTGTTTCTTTTTGCGTTTCCTTTGTTTCTTTTGTTTTTCATTTTACCTTTTTTGTATATGTCAACAATATTTTACTTATTCATGTTTAAGATTTTTCCAATATATTTTTGTAATATATGATCAACATGTTTTCCATACACATTTTAAACATTTCTCAAATGCTTTCTTAACATTTTTTGAATACATGATCGATATTTTTTCTATACATTTTTTTACATTTTTTAAGGGTTGTGCTACGTGAATTAGTCTGATATTTTGCTATTTCGTAGTGTATAATTCCAGTTGATGAATAATTTCTATACATTTGTAACATTTGTTTCTTTTTAAAAGATCAGTCGGGTCATAAGCCGTTAGATCTGCCACATCGAGCGCCCGAGCATGCCTCCACCATTGCACCATGGGTCTTATTGCGGAATATTTCTGCAACACAAGTCCTATTGCAGAATTTGTTTTGCAACAACTGTTTTTCTGCAATATTTATTGCAACTGAGCTTTTGTTGCAATTTTTACAAATGAGGTCTTGTTGCAGAATAATTCCGCAACAGAGGTTTTATTGCAAAAATATAGACCCGTCGTAGAGCATTGCAACACCGCATATGTTTCAGAAGCATAGCCCTTGTTGCATAAGCACGTTCGACGAACGGGGGTATGCGGGCCATCACTGGATGCATGTCATGCAGGGAAGGTGGCAGACGCGTCCGCTGCGATACGTTGGGTGATGGTAAGTGTTTCTTTTTTTCTAACTAGATGATACCCCACACGTTGTTGTAGGAATGTTTTGCAATATATTCAGTAAGAATTGGTTGTATGGAACATGAATATGTAGAGTGATAATTTGAAATAAAAATGAAAATAATTATGATTTGTGGTGTTTGGTTATTGTATAGTATAAACATCATAATAGAATGTAAATTCCCATGCATATTTGCATGTTGAGTTGGCTTTTTATGATGCATGGTTACATGTTGTGGTGGGCCTTTCTTCATGCATGTTGGATGATGAAGTGGCTTATTTGCATCCAGAGAGAAATAGGTTAGTGGGGGCTATCTATTTAAATATAGAAGATTCTTGATTAACAATTTTCAAATAAAAAGATTAATATTTTTTGAATACATGGTCAACATTTTTCCTATACATGTTTAATATTTTTTAAATCCTTGATTAACATTTTCCAAAAACTTTCTCACATTTTTTTCAAATGCTTGATTAACATTTTTATATACATGATCAAATTTTAATTACTTTTTATTTACATAGTCAACATATTTTCTATACATATTTAACATATCCTAAATGCTTGATTAACAATTTTAAAATACTTGTTCAACATTTTTTTCAAATGCTTGATTAACATTTTTATATACATGATCGAAAAATTGACCATTTTTTTAATAGATGAGCAACAATTTTTCTGTACATGTTCAACATTTTATGAATGCTTGTTTAACTTCTATACGCATATACTTTTTTGTAGAGTGTTTTATGTAATATATATGTTTACAATATTTTCAAATATAAACAAAAGTACAAAATAAAGCATAAAACGAAAACAGAAAACGTAAAAACAAAACAGGAAAAAGAGGCTGTGGCCTCCCGCGCTCGTGGGCCGGTCCATCTCCCTCGCCCGTTCAGCGAGATATATGACCATGGTGGCCTGAGCCCATTGACGCCACGAAGGAGCGGCCGAGCGCAGCCTCCGGTCGCCATCGCCGCCGGCGACGCGTAGCTAGCTTGCTCCTATACACGGTGCGAATCTCCGTCTTCACTATCTACCGATCTGACCCTGCAGCTCGCCGTTGCCATCTCCCGGCCGATTAACCCCCTCGTCTCGCCTGCCGCCGGTTAGTGTTCTTCCTTTTGACCTTGCTTGCCAACCAAAACTCCGAATCTTTGTCGAGTTTCAGTCCATTAATTCTGCGTGTGTGTCGTTCGTGGACTCGGATCTAATTAACCTACTTTAATTAGGAGCGGCGGCGTCGTGGTGATCTGCAAGTATTGCAAGCAGCCTGCTGTGTTCTTCTATCTAACTTTCACTGAAGAAATTCGTCAGTTTGGCCGAAGCTCCTGCTCTTTGTAGACATACTTTGCCCCCATCGAATCCTGTAGTGTCGCCAGCATAATACACTTGAGGCTGCCAAAGCTGGACACTGGACATATTTGTGCTCTCTAATCTTCAGAGTTTTTCAAAGGCTGAGTAGTGAGTACTGACAATGACGACAGTGGGCAACATGCCGGAGCTGCCTCCGGACATCTTGATGGGTATCTTTGCCACCCTTGAGATCCCTGACCTTGTGCGTGCCGGCTCTGTCTGCTCCTCCTGGCGCTCCGCATACACAAGCCTACGGAGCCTTGGGCAGTACAAACTCCAGCAGACGCCATGCCTCCTCTACACTTCCGAATCCGCTGGTGAGAGTGTTGCATGCCTCTACAGCCTCGCGGAGAAGAGGTCGTACAAGTTAACTCTCCCGGAGCCGCCTATACGCACTAGGTGTTTGATTGGGTCCTCACATGGCTGGCTGGTAACTGTTGACGACAGATCTGAGATGCACCTTGTCAATCCCATCACATGTGAACAGATTGCTCTTCCGTCGGTGATCACCATCGAGCAGGTGAAGCCCATCTTTGATGAGCACGGTGCTGTCCATAAGTATGAGTACTCATGGCATACTGGGACAGATGCCGGTCCTTACTCTCCGTCTATCTTTGCTATTGACAAGCTGCGCCACAAACTTCACTATAAGGCGTTTGTGTTCCCTGATACATCCACGGGAAGCTACATCGTCGTGCTCATCCATAATCCAAAGTGTCAGCTCTCTTTTGCAAGAGTAGGTGATGATAACTGGACTTGGCTGCCACCTTATGAACGATATAGCGACTGCACTTACAAGGATGGTCTGTTGTATGCGGTGACTACAACCGGAGAACTTCATGCTTTCGATTTCAGTGCGCCTGTCATCACAATGGAGATGATTATAAGAATGGACTCTGTATATGGCATTGGCTGCACGTACTGACGTACGTTGTTCAAGCTCCATCCGGCGATCTGTTTCTTATTTGGAGAATCATTGACCATTATAATTTCGATCTGCTTCTTATTTGGAGAACCATTGACCAGTATAATTTCGCTGATCCTGGATCATCTGTGTTTTGGAACACTACGGGATATATAATATATGAATTTGATCCTTTGGAAAGTAAACTTAAGAGCATAACACGCTTGCCTGACCATGTGCTGTTTCTTGGACATAATCAATCTGTTTGTCTCACTGCCAAAGAATATCCCACTCTCAGGGCAAATCATGCCTACTTTACTGACGATAATGTGATGCGGACAATGGGATTAAAGAATAGTGACCCTGATATGGGAACAATGAACTTGAATAATTTCTACTCCATGGAGGAAATTTTGTCTCGTCAGGTTTGGTCAAGCTGGCCAGCTCCCATGTGGATTACACCTGATCTTAGAAAGATGAAGTTGGCTTCAAGGGGGGATTGAAGAAAACAGATCAATGGATTCAATGAACCAACAAAGGGGTGGCTTGCTGGCTTACTGTCGTTGCTATAGGAGTCATCCACAAAATAATCAAGAGACCAGCTGGACTGTGTGTGTGAGGGCGTACTCAACGCTTGACCCTGCTCCTTACAGGCTAGATTTGGCCTAGTTTTGAGTTCTATCTGTTTACCTATGTTATAAGTGATATCGATACTTCAGTAGTTTATATGACCTTGTTCTTATCATTTTTCTGTGGTATTTCTTCTGCGTTGCTCATGTCGTTATCTTATTGTGGTGTGTTGGTATATTTATTGATTCTTCATTGTTTCTGAATGATCTGATGCATTTGTAATCAGTATACTCTAGTGTAATGTTCGCGCTGTCCATGTTACTCTAGTGTAACGCTGCTGGGTTTGGAATAGCAGCAGGGAATTTGCATGGTATTTCCTTCCAATAGTGGTGTTTTGGCAATATGAGAAAGTTATCTTGCTTCTTTCGTGTGACTTGGTAATTGTGGATTGGATTTTGTGGAAAAGGAGAATCGGGGATTTTGTCTGCCTGATGTTCTTTGTGGTCTGTTGAGAAGGCTGCATACTGTTGCTTTCAGAAGGTAGAAGGTAAGTGTGACATAATGTTCAGAGTGTGTGTAATTTTTCTTTCAGTGCACCTGTGAGTGTTATTTATGTGGGTAGTAAGGCTTATGTCCCTTGAAGAACTAGCAAATATTTCTGCCAGGTTATGGGATTTGCTTACCTGCATGTCTTCTGACAATTAATACAAAGCTATTGGGAGCTGCTCAGCCAGGCAATGATACTGTTGCAAGAGCATTAGCGTTCCAACACTTTTTGAACTTCAGTTTTTGTCGCCGGATTGTGAGCTCCATTTGGCTTGATGTTTCCCAAACCAGTTTCAAGCTTACAGTCTTAGCCCACTGTACCTGCGAATCCACTTGCATTTGTTTTCAAACATATGTGCGTGCCTGATCTGTAGAAGAAGTATGGTATGGAATTGTGTAGCAAGGATTTAATTCTTAAACCTTCAGTAATAGAGGTAATGATTCGGAAAAAAAGAATGATGCAAGGCACAAAGGATATCTTGGCCTTGGCTGCCTGCTGTTGTTATTTATTTTGTTTTGCAATTCTTTAGTGATCAAGTGATTGCTCATGCATGACATGGGATTTTACATAGGAAAGCACAGAGAAGTAGTACTACTACACCCCAGAGCTAAGCACATCTCTCAGTACATTATGGTCATGTAAAATTGTGAAAATAAATTATACTATTTATTATCACAGTACTTGCTCGAGGACCTGTGAACTTAAATTTTCGTTGTTTTACTTTGAATAAAGGGATCGAGTTTCTATTTGGCAGTGCCACTCGCACATGAACTTTCTCCTCTCAATTTTCATCAGTTCATCACAGCAATAGCACATTTCCATCAGTTGTAAGCCTGCATATAAGACACCAATTGTCTAGATAAAACAACAACAAAGAGTAGACAATTTGGAGCAGTTGGTGCTTAAGACAACAATTTGTACAAAATTTGGAGGTCGAATTAATGATACTAGAACAGAACAGGCACTTACATTGTAGAATGGCAGAACGAGATCCCAATGCCTCACATGTCAACAATATCCAAAGGATTGAGTTTGTTGCTAGCTAAAGGATTCACCATGCTGCCCAACAGTGGTAACTCCATGAAAAGTATCTACTTTCGTGGACAAGTTTGCCTGATCAGTGCTTCTTATATGTAAGAGATCTCAAGAGACTGAATCATCTCTAACGCATATGAATTCATTATAAACAATGTTTTTGATACATTTAAAAGGGCCAACTGAATGTTAGTTTTCACCTAACACGGTAGTTCACGTTCATCACAATTTACAGTTAATGAAGATGAAGAAAGTAGATGCGTGGAGGCACTCGAATACAACCCACAGTATGAGACTTAAGCAACCTTTTTGTTACTACAAACATGGCCAAATCACCAACTACCACACTATTCATCTGCATCATATATATAGTAACTTCAAATGAAATGATTGTTCAAACAAAAAAATCTATTTTCTGTAGAGAAAGTAGATGCCTGGAGGCACTTGAGTACAGCAATAAAAAATGAATATAATGTTTTGTTTTTAGAAACATGGTCGAGCAGCAATATATGGTTAGTTGTGGTCACTCCGTGTACAACAAAATGTTTTCCGGGTTTGGAGCATGGAAATAGGGAAAACATAGAAATTAGGTGCGTGTCCTGTAGATTTGTTTATCAATTTGGGAGAGGGGATGAGAGATACACACACATGTTTCCTTAGATTCCTCGAAGGATTCTGTTTTCAACGGAGGTAAAGATTTTCATTTTCTTAATTAAGACAAACTTTAGGCGACTAAACAAATAAAAACACCACAATGTCCAAAGAAAAGTTGGCAAAAATAGCATTTCCGATATTTTGCTAGAGGTTCTAAAAATGGATGAAGACCGAAGGATTTCATAAGAAAAAACTCCATAGGATTTGATCCAATGAAATTCCTGCCTTTTTTTCATTGCCAATGAGCCCTTATGTTCGATCTTGACAGTTCCACGAATTCAAAACCATATAGCAGGCCATGTTTCCTATTTTTCATACATTAGATATATGTGAGATTATTTTTAACCTCAGTGAGTTTGAACCGTAGCAACTTGTGAGGATTCATGTTTTATATTTTGCATTGTTATTTTATTTTAATCCTCTAGTTCAGGTGCACAGGAGAGCAAAAAACACCCCTCACTTGAAAAATCTCTTGAACGTGCGTGCAATCACCCATCACTCGGGCTGTGCAGAGAAAAATACATAAATTGTTGATCGTACATGGAACTATATTTACCTGCTCACCTTTTGGTCGATCTGTCCTAACTTTAGTTCGTACATGGAGTGCAGTGGTGGAGCTAGCAAATTATCAAAGCGTGGGCACACTACAAGCTAAGTTACTCCATTTTGATCTGCCAAGAACCACAAGTATCACATTGGCATATATGGTTGGCATGTGCAACATATCGGCTAATGTTTACTGAGTAAAATATACTGGGGGTCCTAATAGTATTTCAAGTTTGCCAACTAACTCCTGAAAATTTAAAATCGTTCACCGCGGGTCCTAAATGTGTGTAAGTAGTTCACGGCGGGTCCTTAAAGTATTCCATGTGTGTCAAGTAGGTCCTAAAAGTCACGGGTAAAATAAATATATAGGAGCCGCGGTGAATGATTTCAAACTTTTAGGATCTCTAGTGTATTTTATAGGTCATAGATGTATCAAACATCATATGAAATAGCTAGTTGAATAATAGCCGCACGACCGAACACTCGTTGACTCAGACATCAAAATTTACAGAATCTAGAAGATACAAAATTGGATTAGTAAATTGTATACATTTCCAATTAATTCAAAAACATTGTGGAGTAATGCGCAGAACTTGCAACATTTCTTTCTTGCCTTTGGGTGTCATAGAAAGAAGACCACAAACTTGGCGGCGGCTCAGACCTTACACCCAGCGTGCTGGGGTTTCTCCTGCTTCCTGCCGGTGTTGTCGCCGGTCTATCTTGTCTCCTTTAGTCTTAGGACCATGGAGGCACGGTGGATCCCGGTCTTTGTCGACAGGCAGGTTTCATTTTTTTTTAAGTTTTGTTAGGATCTGTGTCCTACTAAGAGATGTGAGACGGCGACGGCTCTCTATAGATGGAATAAGATTTTTCCCACCTAGCCTCAATTTCAGTGATGTTTCTAGTATCGTCGGAGGATGTGTGAGGAGGTTCTTCTCCCATGGATCTCATGGGATTCAGTCGGCATTTGTCTTCGATGGATTCACGTGGATCTGGTCTTCCTTTGTTTGGGTTCGTGTCTCTACAGGATGGATCCTTCTGATCTACACTTCTCTTCATCGAGGACGGTTGCTGTTTTGGTGCGTTGGTCCTACGGGGCCTTAGCATGACGACTTCCCGATTGTTTACTACAACAAGGTTTGTCCCGCTCCAATATTGAAGGGACAATGACGGTGGCGTGTCTTCTACTTGCTCCAGTGCTTGTAATCGTCGCTAAATGGTCTATGAATCTAGATGTATTTTTTACTTTTGATGTTTTTTATACTACTTTGACAGTTAATGAATAGGTCAAAAGATTTTCGGGTAAAAAGACAAAAACTTGCACCATTTTTTTGAGCATCTCGAGAGTTGCCGCCAGGGGCGGAGCCAGCACACGAGCGTTGGGTTCAGCTGAACCCAACGATATTTTCCCTCGTCGGGTATGTATGTATACATACGTATGTGCTTGAACCCAATCAAAAATAAGGATTGAACCCATTAACTTAGGATGCAACGCTTAAGCCCAAAAAAACCCACAAAGTGGGCCCTTCCGTGCCAGCCTGCTAGGCCTGCTCGTATCCTCCTGCCCCTATTTCCTATTCTCGTGTGCGTGTACAGGGGCAGCCGCCAGCCGTCGCAGACGTTTCGTCTTTTATTTCGGTTCGTTGACTCTTGCGATCTATTCTTTCAT